TTATATATTTTATATTGTATCAATATCTTGATAAAATTTACAACAATAACATTTTCAGTTTGAATTCTATATATTTGAGATGTAGCTAACATATTTACATTGGATTGAACATAAATATATATATATATATATATATATATATATGTGTTACAACATTTGGTGTGTATGTGTCTATATTGTGAGATGAGGTATTATATAAAATAAATATATATATATTGGACTATTATTATATCTTTATCGCCATATTTATTATATATTTCGGCCCTTCAATATTGTCTATATTGATGAGATCAGTGATATATGTATATATTTACATTATTCGGTTCATTTTATATATATATATTTTACTTACGTTTCGGTCGTAAAACGCGCAGTGTGTGTGTGTGTGTGTGTGTGTGTGTGTGTCTGTAACGTTTATATATTGGATCGAATTTCCTACATTTTTTAGCCGATTTCAACAAAACTTCACAGGACTACATAAAATTACCTTGTGGTGGTTCTAACGGGCGTCGAAAATGGGAAAAACACAATTGTTTTTTTAACAAAATCAATTTGAAAACACGATTAAGACACATCGTGAGAATGAAAGGGGGACAACTCACCCACGAAAATGTAAACAAAAGAGCATAGCATGATGAAAAAAACGCCGAACTTGACGAAAACAAAATTTTATCGTCTAATGTTCATATTATTATTAAAGAGGAAAGATCAAAGTATTTTTGGGGTATTTTTTTACATTTTTTAATCGTTCCTAGCACGTCTGAAATTTTCGTTAAAAATATTGTTTTTTTTTGGTAAAAAAAAAAGGACAGATAATCAATCATTTTCAATCATTTTTTTCGATTTGATAAAAAAGATTAAAATCTTACTTTGATATTCTTTTAAAAATCAATTATCATTTTTTCAAAACTGATTTTAATAAAAACAGAAATTATACTGTTTATTTAAAATATTTTGAACCAAGCTTAACTTAGCTTCTGCGCCGAAAAAATGTAATTTGAAAATAAAACAAAACAGGTCATAACCTTTCGCGTCGCTTGACGATTGACGAAAGGCACATTCATGACGTTTAGATAACTTACGGGAGGATAATTCTTTCTACGGATGGAAGGAAGTGAAATTATTTAAGTGAACAAATTATTTACCTTGTTACTTTTTAAGGAAAACTTTCAGCGCTCTATTTTTTTTTTTTTTTTTTTTTTTTTTTTTTGTACTTAGCTTTCATTTTTACGTTTACGATGCTTTATGGAAAATATAAAGAAATTAAAAAATAAGACTGTTAATAGTGAGATTAAATTTCATAAGAAAAAGGTATCTAATTAATTTAGGTACCTTTCTTATGAAATTTTATCAGAAATGTACATAAAATACTATAATTTTATGTACATTTATTACATTTTACTGTGTTATTTGTATTTCCATTCATTTTATTATTAATTTTGATATTTCATTTATGGAAAAATGTCATAACTGAGATTAATATAAAAATAAGATCATATAAATTAAAGTTTAGCAGTAGTTAAATTTCATAAGATGATACTGTTACTTGTAGGTACCCTTCTCAGTTGAAATTGAAAACTCAAATTAACTTCTCCATACGTGTTTCGTAAAAGTAAAGGGCTTAACAGCGGAGAACAATGCTGAACTCAAATAATGCAACTAAATTGTATTCTGGTTGGTCTTCCGTACTTGATAATTACTGTCCGACTATAAACACAAAAATTACATTTCTTAATTACCATGGCTAATCTGATTGGTCCAAATTATACAATTTTCAAAGCGCTAGACAATGACAATCTCACACGGACATTTTGAAAGGTTGATGTTGCTTTTTAACTAATGTTAAAATATTTTTTAAAATTCAATTTAAAATTTTTTAAAAATCTTTTTAAAATTAAAGAAATAAGAAATAATTGTATTAAAAATTCAATTTTCATTGAAAAAAATTTTTTTGCTTTCAGAAAATATTGTCCATATTCATAAAAACAAATTAAAACAAATAAAAGCATTTGAAACTAAATAATATATTTGTTTTATTGAGTTTTGTATGTTACAATTCACAGCTGATTTTCAGGTACGTTGGCCAAAAAAAAAAAAAAAAAAAAAAAAAAAAAACATGATTTGCATTCTTCAAAGCCTTGTGCTTTTAACTATTGTAATCACTAAACCGATGGTCTCGAATTTCTAGAGTTTTTCATAAAATTAGTTATGGGGTGTTAATAAATATAAAAAAATATTTCTGCCATGACTTTAATAAAAAAAAAATATTTATAATAATTTCGATCATCTGTGAATAGTTTCTGAAAGTTTCATTAACATCTGACAATTATTTTTATTTTTGCAAGATTTTCCAAATTAATGTGTAAATACAAAAAAATGCGCTAAAAATTATCTATGTTATTTACTACCCCTTGTTGCGACAAAGAGAAACAATGTTTTTTAAATCAAAATTTAGAATATTCTAAAAAGATGGAAAATTTTTAAAAAAAATTAAAAAAAAATTTAGTCTATCCTCTTCATAAAAAAATAAGCATTTTGACGATAAAATTTTGTTTTCATAAACTTTGGCGTCTTTTTCATCAGACTATGCTCTATGTTTTTTAGCGATTCCGTGGAGTGACTTAGGTTAAAAACCCAGGTTGTTTGTGTGTGTGTGTGTGTTTATATATGGGATCTTTATATATTCGGATTTCTTACATTTTTCAGCCGATAAAACAAACATCCACTTTTTTTGGGGCAGGTAGTATTTCTTATTGTCTTGCACACTTTTTTTCTTTATTTATACATTCAGAATGCTTTAAAAATTCCATTTACAAGACAATTGTTTATAATAAAATTCTAATTCTATTCAATCAGGGGACTCATCATAACGATTGAAAAAACAATTTTTTGTTTGAGTTTGGGTTTGACCAATTCGTAAAAAAAAAAAAAAAAAAACTAAGACATGCGTGTCCGTCAACCTAAACAATAATCTAACGATCTCTACTGATTTTACGAATTGAAAAAATCGGATAATTCTTTATCTTTAGGGAAAGATAATTCCACGTACTTTTAGGGCCGTTTTTACAATTCCCTTTGCAATTTGTTACAAGGCAGATCAATAAGGCATTGGTTCTATTTGAAATTAATTCAATATTTAAAAGAAAGTATTAAGAAATACTTTAAAAATGCCGACGTAAGAAATCTGATAGACAAAAAACAACAATATTTCGAAGATGATAATTATTAAGGAAAGAACACAGTACTTGTAATAAATTAATAAACCCAAATAAAGTTAATATTTTTTGTATTAAAAACAATGAGTGGAAAATATATTCAAATCAGAATTCTAATTATGAATCACCACAAGCAAAATATGCAATTTTTTTTACTGTATTCAATAAGTAAAAATCATAAATTGTAAAAGATTACAGAGAAAGGCTACCTACATTTTTCAACCGATTTCAACAAAACTTCACTTTTTTTTTTGGCAGGTAGTGTTTCTTATTGTCTTGCACACTTTTTTCTTTATTTTTACATTCAGAATGCTTTAAAAATTCCATTTACAAGACAATTGTTTATAATAAAATTCTATTCACCAATCGATAGACTCATAACGATTGTAAACAATGTTTTTGTTTGAATTTGGGTTTGACCAATTTTAAAAAAAAAAAAAAAAAATTAAGACATGCGTGCGTGTCCGTCAACCTTAAACCATAATCTTTTGTCAATTTTATTTTTCAGTCTTTATGATGGTCGATACTTGATCTATCTATGGAGGAAATAGGCAATTGATAGATATGAACAAACTGATAAATATATATATATATATATATATATATATATAGAGAAGAGAGAGAGAGAGAGAGATAAGAGGGAAGGAAGGAAGGAATATATGAACTCAGTGGATATCAAAAGTATGAGATAAATGAATAAATTACCAGATAGATATGAAAAGCGTGAGACAAAAATATGAACAAACTGATATATATATATATATATATATATATATATATATATATATATATATATATATAGATAGATAGATAGAAGATAGATATAGATAATGGACTGAAATAGATATGAACAGACTGATATATATATATATATATATATATATATATATAATGAATAGACTGAGAGAGATAGAAAGAAAGAAAGAAAGAAAGAAAGAAGGAAAGAAAGAAAGAAAAAAGGAAAGCAAAGTGAGCACTAGGTAGATATCAAAAGTATTAGATAAATGAATAAATTAACAGATAGGTATGAACAGCGTAAAATAAAATAGATAGATAGATAGATAGATAGATAGATAGATAGATAGATAGATGGAGGAGTAGTGATGCAAAATGTCTCAAGAAAAACGAAGAAAAATTCTTTTAAAAAAGGAACTAAAAATTATAGATAAAAATAGGTAGATAGAAAAGAGAGAGAGAGAGAGAGAGAGACTGGGAGAGTGATTGTAAGAAAAAAAGAAAGAAAGAAACTGTATATATATGTATGTATGTATGCGTGAGAAAGAGAGAGAGAGAGAGAGCGAGAGATTAAAAGACATATTAAATAGAGAGCGAGACAAGTCTGTAGCGTTATGAAAGACTTTAATCCAAGCCGACAATTCTTTGCCCTGATCGTCATGGCTGTCTGTCATCCCGGCTTTTAGCTAAATTGACTCAGATTTGATTAGTCGGACGAGAAGTGACACACCACCACCACTATCCTTCTCTCTCTCTCTCTACTCCTATATATATCCCCTCTGCACCTTCTCTATCATCCATACAACTCCTCCTCCCATTACCACTATATTTTGATTTCACTTCAGCTTTCACCCTCATCGTCTTGCCTTTCGCGTTGTCTAATCGCCCCGACCCACTATTGATTACCCAAGTCAAAAACATTACTGTGCCCAACCACGGCTACCTTCGACCAAATATTCTCCCTTCCAACCTTCACGGCCACCACCGCCATCATCAACATCATTATCACCGCCATCCACCACCCGTAGTGAAGCTAATACCATAGACATTATGGCCATTGCCACGACCAACGTGAAAATCTTAAAATCTATGGCATCCTATTTTCATTGAATCTTTTATAAATTTCTATTTACAACTTTTCCCCTTTCCCTTCACCCCAGTTTACTGCTATCTATCTATCTATCTATCTATCTATATCTATCTATCTATCATTCTGTTCATCTATCATTCTATCTTCTATCTATCTATCTATCTATCTATTATCTATCTATCTATCTATCTATCTATATCTATCTATCACATTCTGTTCATATCTATCTATCTATTTATCTATCTACATTCTGTTCATATCTTTCTATCGATCTATCTATCTATCTATCTATCTATCTATCTATCTACGTTTGATTAATTTCTATCTATCGTTCATTTATTTTGATATACATATTTTTTTCATTTAAACGAGATAATATATATATATATATATATATATATATATATATATATATATACATTTGGATGTTAAAATATATTACAAGATTAGTTAAATTTATATAAATTTATTTTTTTAAAAAAAATATATATAATTGTGTATAAATGTGTGTGTATGAGAGTGCGTGTATTCAGGTAGATGTTCTGTCAATATATCTACCTATAATTAATTTATTCCATATATATCTATATATATATCGATTCATTTACTGCGTATATATATATATATATATATATATATATATATATATATATATATATATATAATATCAATCATATAAGTGACAATGCTTTTATTTGTATTAGTTCTCTCTCTCTTTCTCTCTCTCTCTCTCTCTCTATATATATATATATAGGAGGCACGGTAGAATAATAATTTGGATTGAGGGATCGGAGACCCGAATTCGAATTCCAGTCGAATCCATTACATTCACTTACTTGAGAAAGGTATGAATCCTCTTTTTCTCCCCCAAGCTAAGGATAAATAGCAGGAAAAACTTGTGTGGCAACCGGTCTAGAAAAGGAAACAACTCTGAATTCAAAGCCTGCGGAGGTTCGTTTCGGGACTTTGGGGCATACATACGGTGCACATGGTCTCTGTATTCGGCTCTTCCAAAAAGTGGGGTTGGTTCATCAGTATAATCAATGTGCAGCCGTCGTCACTATCAAATCATATGTCCAGGTAGTCAGGCTGTCGGTTCCTAGAAACAGAGCTCTTCGACCCTCATACGTCGAAAAACGACGGGAGAGTACAGCATATATATATATATGCAAATAGTAAAAATATATATATCTATCTATCTATCTATCTATCTATCTATCTATCTATCTATCTATCTATGTATATATATATATATATATATATATATATATATATATATAGTAAAAATATTAGATAAAAGCTCAAAATATAGAATAAACGTAAGGCTCAATTCCAAAGTTGACAGTTCCAGTTTGACCGACTATTCAACCCATAGCTGGGGAGAGAAGAGATGGATTCATGCCTTTCCCAAAGGTATTAGTGTGTAAGTGAATGTAACAATCCAACTCGAATTCGAACTTGGTTCTACGATTTCCTATCTCGAGCTGTTATCTATTGCAATTACTATTATCCATTTCTATATATTTGTGTGTGTGTGCGTGTTATATGTATTCAGGTAGATATTCTATCTATCTTTCTATCACATTTTCGTTTATAACCGTATATTCATATAGACAGAATATAATAGATATATAATCTATCTATCTATCTATCTATCTATCTATCTATCTATTTTAATAGTTTGTTCACGTACACGCATGTTTATACGTGTCTACGCGCGTCCTGCAATAATTGCAGGAATTTATTGTTTCGTAACTTCGAAAGCGCAGGGAAAACGGGAAATCTTTTTAGGGGCCAAAGTGTTCACCTTTTCTTGTAAAGATTAAAACAACAGCCATTTTCTTGATTGGAATCAGAAAGACGAAAACATTCTACCAATTTCAAAATAGGCAATATCAATTAGATTTGATGTTACGAGCAGAAATCCAATGATTCCATTTACATGCATTTAATGGTTCAATTAAATTATTCATATTTAATTCACTTAAGAAAAAATAAATTATTTTTAATGTATTGAATAAAAAAAAAAAAAACAGAAAGAAAGAAAGAAAGAAAGAAAGAGAGAGGAGAAATAAATAAAGCGTCACACTTTTTCGAAGCGAAGAGAAAAAGCAAGAAAAGAAAGAGCAAGAGAGAGAAGAGGAAGTAGGGTGTAGAGAAGGGGACAGAAAGAAGGTAGGGATGTGGAGGGGATGAGAAAAAGGGGAAGGTAGGGATGTGGACAGGGGGAGAGACTGAAGGAGAGAGAGAGAGTGAGTGAGAGGTGGGAGATGGTAAAGCAGGGATTCAAAGATGGGAATAGAAAGTGGGAGTGACATCCCTAGACATGAAACGGGAATAGTCTAGCGCCGCAGATTAAATAAAGGGTTCAGTTCTGAATTCCCTGTGGGTTACTCGAATCAATATACACCTGAGGAAGGCCGGAGGGTACAATGGCCGAAATGTTGTGATAATAACACCAAAGATGAGGATAATAATCCAAATATAAATAGTGTAAATAAGATTATGAACGGTTATCAAAGTATAATTAATATAGCAAACTTGACGTTTTTGACTGCAACGAAATCTTGATAAATAATAATATAATTAGGAGGTTGAATTTCCACACTACCTTAAACAAAAGGCTTGGAGGGAAACTCCTATCATTACGAGAAAGATTGACAAATGTAATTAAACTTGAGAAGTTTAATTTCTGGAAAATAAAAGGTTTAAAAACAAAATATTTTACATATTTCAACCGACAGTAACGACAACTGTTCGGTAAATTCATGCCAAATGTTTCCTTATAAGGAAACGGCTAATGTTACCATTACCGATGTTGACCTTTGTACCTATGCAGACATATTTTCTTTGCTGATTGGTTTTTGCATCTTAAAATAGTTCTTTATCTTTGCCGGTTTGTGAACTCTAGTTGCAACTGTGTATTCAAGTGCTGGAAGGAATTACCATTTTTTATATTTCTTTAATCATTTCACCCCAACCAAGGCAGTAAAGCCGCTAAGGCACAAGAGGCTACTGAATGTGAAAGTAAAAGAAAAAACAGAAATATTAAGGAGCGAGATCGATAGAAGAGTAATCAAGAAGACAGAAGATAACGATCGACATTCCATTTAAATTTTTGAAGATTAAAATTAACTGGAAAGCATGATGCCAGAAGAGAGTTCCACAAGCGAGAAGTGCAAGAGGAGAAACTGTTAGCATAGAACTTACGGTTACAGTTTGCTAATTCATACCATATAGGAACATTTATCCGAACAATTACCATGAAAATATTTATAGAAAAGGCACAGGGAAGCTATATAGCAGGAAAGGGGCTGAAGCCAAGATGTCAGGTCAGAAGCAATGACGGATTTTTCTTTTGGATTTGATCAAAAACTTTAAATATATAACAGGAGCACTGGATAAAATGTGGTAGAAATATTTAAAGCATGAACGAATGGTAGACATATAGATATGTAAGATAGATTTTGGAGAGAAAAATTGTTTAATACGACACAGTGAACCAACTTTCTTAGTAGCAAAACTAGTTATTGATTCAATATAATCTTTCTAGTTAATAAGTTTTCCTGTATAACGCCTGAGATTGAAACGCTTCTGAAGCATTTTTTTCATTGTCTTATATATTAGTTTTGTTTTTGTTTTTTTAACGTTAGCACACACACACACACACGCATACCTACATACGTACGAAAGTTCATACAACACGTAATGATCGGCTTCACTGGAGATGTCTAATGAATTAAAATTCGGTGGGAAAATTATCCAAAGTCTCGTTGCATCTCATTGTGTCGCGATAACAAAGAAAATATCAACGGCCGGCACACATCACTTATTATGGCGACTTGTCGACCATGCACGTGCGAGTCAAAAAATTTACTAACGTTTTTTTTATTGTTTTTTTTTTAATTTTTTTTTATTCGTCTTCGATCTCTGTTTAACTGGAATATTTGTAACGTCCTTTTTCTCGAAGCGGCAATTGGTCATTGGCACAAGCCAAGGAACAGTATTTCTATTATTTTTTTAAATACATTTTTAAAAACAAAATTTGCTCTTTCATTGTAACATTTTCTCTTTCTCTCTCTCTCTCCCCGTCGGCAAAAGAATCAATAGACAACGATGGTATCTTTGTATTTTCCATTGTTGTTAGCTAATATTTTTATTCCCGTGGAGACCGTTTATTGCATTGTGATCTGACTGCTGATAATGGAAGCATAAAAGACGTAAAAAAAGAAAAGAAAATAGAAAATAAAAGAGAAATCTAGATTTACCGTCTAATATTTTTTCCTCGATTTTAATTTCTCTTAGTGATTTGCCTTCAAACAAGATGGCGACTATTTCTTTGATAATTTTTGTTTTCCAAAGAGGTAGGGATGGTTCGTGTATTAAGGCGATTGCCACCTGCCCACCTGTCACGCGACACCAGTAGGACACGTGTGGAATGGTGCTTCTGAAGAGCTTATCCCAACTCGGTGCCTTATTCTTCCATTGCAAACTTCGATATATTCGGTAAAAACGTAGAAAAAAGAACTAATAATAATAATAATAATAATAATAATAATAATAATAATAAAAACATTAGCGTTGGGCGAATTCATTTGCTAGATAATTGAACAATAATGGATTAACATTTAAGCATATTCTTTTTTATGTGTCGTGTACCTTCAGGACATGTGCAATCATGGCTCTCCACAACTTCCAATCTTTTATTGCTCTAAATGACTTTTAATGGTTTACTATCTCTCTTTGTCCTTGTTATTCACACAAATCCGTTAATTGCTGTTTATCTTCTGCTTGCACTGTCTTCAGTATGCCATGTGAGTGTTAGTTTTGCCGGATGCTCTTACCTCGTTATGTGTTCCCAAATTTTCAGCCGTCTCTTTCTGATTGAAAATTGAAAGTAGAAGTTTACTCGTAGCTCCGATATTCCTGAAAACTTCCTTATTGTTGACATGTTCTGTCTATGGTATTCTTAGCATCCGTCGGTGGAATCCCATCTCTCTTGCTTCAATTATACTCTTCATCTTGAAATATATTGGCCAACTTTCACTGTCGTATGACCTATAAATAGTTGCCTATTCACACACACACACACACACACACACACACACACACACACACACACACACACACACACACACACACACACACACTGTATTTTTCGTATGTCAAGTCGCTAAAAGTGGTAAAACGCACCCTATAATTAGCTAGGTACCTTTTGGAAAAAATTGACGATTTAATAGCTTACCAGTCTATTTGTGCTTATCATTAATTAGTTTTTCCATAATTTAGTAGTTTTGGAAGGGTATCCTCTGCTGAATGACAAGATTGACTGCCTGCATTTGTTTGTGTATTTGTCTAGCGGCATATCAACTCCTCATGGGTCATTTAATGCCGAAATCTAATTTTCTTGGAAGCATTAGTAATTTCTTTTACAAAAATGTATTGCTGGTAATTTTTTGTCTTATTTTCAAAGCTTTATTGCTGTTATTTTTTTTTTTCAAAAATGTATTGCTCGTAAACTTTTTTGTTTTGTTTTTTCAAAACTCGATTTCTGGTTACTTTTTTTTCAAAAATTCATCGGTGGTATTTTTTTAAACTGGCGAAATTTCTTTTTTAAATCCATTAGTGGTAATTTTTTTAAAAAATCCATTGGTGCTAATTTAAAAAAAAAAAATCCACGGGTGGTAATTTTTTTTTCAAAAATCCATTGGTGGTATTTTTTTTTCAAAAATCTATTGTCGGTTAGTTTTTTTTAAAAATCCATTGGTGGTAATTTTTTTCAAAAATGTATTGCTGGCAATTTTTTTAAACTATGAAAATGTATTGCTGCACCTTCACTATAAAAATAAATTTCTACACTTTCATAGTGTTTTGATCCCAGTTTGGGGGTTTGCTATTTGCCCATAGCTGGGACCATAACAGGTGCTACCACCCCGGGACAGGGTTGACCTGGGAACATCAGTAATTAAGAGGGGTTCAACGTACCTCAAAACCTCCCAGTCGGAGGCCTTTGATTGCCTGCACTATCAACATAAACATGGCGGATAGTTGGTACTGTGTACGTTTGGAATTAATTGTATCCCTATTGAGCTAACCAGTTTCTTTAAATAATATACAAGGTGCGGTAATAAAGCTGGTATTCTTGGTGTCCATATGAAACCTGTTACCCTGTATTACATGGCTGAGTTTGGAGTTTTTAAAGGTACTGTACGTTTAGATGAACGAAAGATAGTACCAGTAGGAAGATGCCTACTACTTATCATCAATATATATGTTATAATACTAACATGATGTGCGGTATTTATTACATTTTTTTACAGTAAAGTTTACGCTTTACAAGGCCCCGGTGCCACTCGAGGTAGAGGGTTACGTTAGGAGGCAAGTTGTGCAGATAGGAGTAGAAGATAACTGTTAACACTAGCCTTGGACAGGTTAAGAATACCCAATATCCACGTACGTGGAAAAGCGTCAAGACAGATTCACGCTCAGTTTACCACGCGGGAAAGACTTCGATTAAACGCAATGACATCAAGAATTAACAATAAATTAATGTACAAGTAATTAATGCAGAAGTGCCTGCATGGGCATATATATATAGGGGGATTTAAATAACCATATTAAAGTAATTCATCAAGTCTAGAAGTCCTATTCTGGGACTCATCAGCAGTGCGCATCCGCCCTGATCGTTACTGGACCAACGGGCCTTGGTAACGAAGAGGTAACTAACTAGACTCGATATAGCGCCGCTCACACTAAATTCCGTGGCGTAAATCATCCAAGCATACTTAACTCAACGGATTCGTCATCGTATCATAACGGTCCGGGT